AGGGGCTTGACTAAATGTAATTCCAATAAGAATTCCATTGGTATTTTTAAAAGCCTTGTAAACCGATTCTAGAGTTCACTTGGAAGAATAAACATGCAGTGATTGCCAAGAAAATGTTGAAAGTAAGGATAATGAGAGAGGACTTGCCCTGCCAAGATACAACATATTCTAAAGCAACTATAATTAAAACCCATATTACCGTACTCCAAGACAGAGCAGTGGAACAGAACTGAAGGCCCAAAGACAGACCCCAGCGTATATAATTATTTAGGATATAATAAAGTTGGCATTTGAGATCAGTGGGGAAGGGACGGGTTATTCAATAAAACGTATTGGGACAGTTGATTACCTATTCGGGAAAAAAAAAAGTGGCAAAGTAGATTCCCAGTGCACATCAGGTGGCACGAAATTACAGATGGATTAAAGAATTTAAAGTGCAAGTCATGCCGTAGAAAAGTAGAAAAATAAAATAATAATATTTATATGAAATTGGGGCATGTGGGAAGGCCTTTTGAAGTGTAGTTGAACTGAGTTTTCTTTGTCCAGTTTTTTCTTTTAGTAGTGTGCATTATATTTCTATCCTTTTTTTTTTCTTTTTTGAGAGAGAGGGAGTACAAATGGGAGAGGAGGGGCAGAGAGAGAAGGGGAGAGAATCTTGAGCAGAGTCCCCACTGAGCGGGAGCCTCACGTAAGGCTCGATCCTATGACCCTGAGATCATGACCTAAGCTGAAAACAAGAGTCTGATGCTTAACCGACTGAGCCACCTAGGTGCCCTTTTTGTTCTTAATGGTTAACATGCATATTCAAACTTACAATGACTTACATGGGGTTTCTCAATATCTAGAACCTCTTGAAGAATGAGACAAGACTCTTAGCGCATCTCCATGTTATGGACCTTCTCCCACCCCCATTTCTTATGACTTAGTTTCTTCCCCCTCTCCTCTCCCTCTGTGTGTGTGTGTGTGTGTTTGTGTGTGTGTGCATGCACATGCACATGTGTGTGTGCCTGTGTGTATTAAAGTTTTTTATTTTTAGAGTAATCTCTACACCTAGCATGGGACTCGAACTCACAACCCAGAGATCCAGAGTCTGCGCGCCCACCAACTGAGTCAGCCTGGCACCCCTCCCTCTTTGTTTTTTTGTCCTTTCTTTCACCACTTTTGTTTCTTTTTGTTTTGGTTATCGTTTTGCGAGGTGTATATACTCTAGCACTTCTTTTGTGGGAAGTAAGTTTTTTAAGTCCTTGTATTCTGGAAATGTCTTTACTCTGGACCTTCTCTGGAATACCAGTTTGGCTTTGTATGAGGTTTTAGGTCAGAATGACTTTTCCTAAACCTTTGAAGATATGCTCTATCATATTCTAGAATTCAGAACTGCAGAGGAGAAATCTGATGCCAAATTGTTTTTGTTCTTATATATACAATGGAAAACTATGCAGCCATCAAAAGAAATGAAATATTGCCATTTGCAACGATGTGGATGGAAATAGAGGGTATTATGGTGAGTGGAATAAGTCAATCAGAGAAAGACAATTGTCATATGATCTCCCTGATATGAGGAATTTGAGAGGCAGGGCAGGGGGTTGTTGGGGATAGAGAAGGAAAGAATGAAACAAGATGGGATCGGGAGGGAGACAAACCATAAGAGACTCTTCATCTCACAAAAAAATCTGAGGGTTGCTGGGGGTAGGGGGGTAGGGAAAGGGTGGTTGGGTTATGGACACTGGGGAGGGTATGGGCAATGGTGAGTGTTGTGAAATGTGTAAGCCTGACGATTCACTGACCTGTACCCCTGGAGCAAATAATACATTATATGTTAATAAAAATAATTAAAAAAACTATTTTTGTTCTGTTGCTGGTAATCTTCCCTCTGTCCTCTTCCTGACCCTGCTGGACATGTTGGAATGATCTCAGATACCTTCACCCTCACTCTTTTCTTCCTTCATTCCTATGGATGCTTGATAATTTCTTTCAGTTTAATGACTCAAATTCTTCTTCAGCTTCAGGGAATTTCCTTTTTCTGTTTCCTTTGATTACACCTTCACTATTCTGTCTTGAATCTTTTTAGACGGGTATTAAATTTTTGGCTCTCTTGTACAGGTTTTGCAGCATTTCTTTGATTCCTTCCCACCCGTTTTGGGGAATTCTGGGACAGTCCCTCAATTTAGACTTCCAGTTTGCCAAGTTCTTCTTTAGCCATGCCCATTTGGTTACCCGCCCAACCCCCGAGTTTCCAAATTGGGCAGTAATATTTTTCATCCCCTGACCTGTGTTTACCTTTGACTCTTGATTTTGTTTCAAAATGGAAGTAGGGTTGTTTTAGCTGATTATGTAACTAGTCTATACTCCTTGTAAACATTTTGAATGATGTAGAAAAATATAAGGTCGAAAGTGAAAATGATGGGTGTGCTGTGAAACGGAGCTCTATGCAAAATGACCTCCAAAGAACAAGGCCAAGTCCAGCTTGACAAGAAATGATTTAGTAAGGCTACTTAAGGACAGAAGCAGGTCTTGTGTGGCTGCAAGACAAGTAGATCTCTACCTCACCCCCACCCCTCCATAGGACTTGTTTTTATGGCCCCAGAAGCTGGGGAGTCCGTGTTGGTATTATATCTGGGAGAGATGCTCAAGGATAGTTGTGTGTCATAGCCATATCTCCAGAGCATATCAAGGACATTATGTTCCAGTGATGTACTTGAGGTTGTGTTTTAGACAAGAAAGAAAGAATGAGGCTAGAGATGGTGTTCAAGAAGACTTCAGATCACAGAGTTGTCATCGTGGCGGATTTGTCCAGATGTCATCGGTCTGGTTCACATGATTGGCAATCCTACTGCCCAGAGATAATTATCACTGGCTTCTGTTGACCACTGTTCATAAATTTCTCTCAAGATTCATAGACCTATAGGAACAGAGGGACACACACACACACGCGCACACACGGACATGTGTGCACGATTTGACACAAATATCTTTTTTTTTAATAGTTTTTATTTATTTATTTGACAGATAGAGATCACAAGTAGACAGAGAGGCCGGCAGAGAGAGAGAGAGGAAGAAGCAGGCTCCCTGCCAAGCAGAGAGCCCGATGTGGGGCTCAATCCCAGGACCCTGGGATCGTGACCTGAGCTGAAGGCAGAGGCTTTAACCCACTGAGCCACCCAGGCGCCCCAACACAAATATCTTTTTACAAAGCATATATAACTTACAAAATGCAGTAGCTATTAAAACAGAAAGGGGAGTAAGTGAAGGCAAAAGAAATTGGCCCCTTTGGACCTCTTCTTGGTTTCCAAACATGGGAACTTAAAAATTTTTGTATTGTGGAAAATACCAAACATTTATTAAGGTAGATAGCTTAGTATAATAATCCTCATGTGTCCATCACTCGGGTTTAAGTAATGATCAATCATGACTGATTTTTATTCCAGCTATAATCCTCCCTTTCTCCTTCCTGTCATACTGAATTTTTTTTAAGTGGGCTCCATGGCCAGTGTGGAGCCTAATGCAGGGCTTACCCTCATGCCCCTGAGATCGAGACCTGAGCTGAGATCAAGAGTCAGATGCTCAACCAACCAACCAACCAAGCCACTTACGTGCCTCCCCAAATTATTTTTTTAAAGATTTTACTTATTTATTTAAGAGAGAGAGTGTGTGTGAGCACATGTGTGAGCAGGGAGAGGGACAATAGAGGAGAGAGCATTGCTGTGTATTAAAAAAAATTTCTTTTTTTCTGATTGCTTCCCTGTGATGTCATTTAACACATGCCTCTGTCACTTGCATTTTCTGTAAATTGGCAATTGGATCAAAAGGCTTGCACCGATTCGGGTTTGATTACTTCAGCAAGAGTACCTCGTAGGTGGCAGAGTGCTTCCTGGTACTTTGATCGGTAGGCAGGTCGAGTCTTCTCGTGATGTTAGCAGCCACTGATTGTTGCCCAGGTCCCTTGTCTCTCGAGGCGTAGTCTTGAGCTTTCCAGGCCTGTTTTCATTTGCTGAGAATGTTCTTTGGAAAGATCCTGAGTTGGCTGTGTGGTTCTACAGCATGGTACGTGTCCTCCAGGATCTCACCATTTAAACTTAGTGAAAGTAGATTTAATATAGTCTCTGGGGCGCCTGAGTGGCTCAGTAGGTAAAGCCTCTGCCTTCAGCTCAGGTCATGATCTCAGGGTCCTGGGATCGAGCCCCGCCTCGGGCTCTCTGCTCAACGGGCAGCCTGCTTCCCCTTCTCTCTCTGCCTGCTGCTCTGCCTACTTGTGATCTCTCTCTGTCAAATAAATAAATAAAGTCTTAAAATATATATATATATATATATATATATATATATATAGTCTCTGACCTCCCCTCCCCCCATGCGGTAGAATCCCCCCTCCCAGGTGGGGAGCCATATCCTAGCTGCCTCTGACTTACTGGCGTTCAAATAGATGTATGGGTATATTTGGTTGCAAACTACTTGAGTAACAGAGACACATTGCAGGTTTTTCCTCCACTCTTGCAGTCATTTGGCATTGCTCCTGGGTGAGACAGGGGCACAGGTCTGCCATGCCTGCTTGCTCTGATTTTCTGCCTGGCTCTTCGTATCATGCATGTCTCTCTGAGCATGATTCTGGTGTTTAAATATATGCACTCCTTGTGCATTCTGGACCTAAACCCAAGCCGACTGTTACTTCATGCCGATCTAAGAAACCACGTCCTGTTTCAAAACCAGCACAAGACCTGACAGCTGAAGGGATCTTTGGGGGAGGGGGTGTTAATTTTGAGCATTTATGATCTTCTGAACCCCTGTTACCTTTAGAAGTTGAACGGATTTGTAGGATGCCACAGCAGTGCGGTTGCCGTAAAAGGGCAAGGTGGGGAAGCTGAAGCCATTGTTCATTCTGCTGTAAGAACTTTCTTGTTGTGAAGTCCAGGCTTAATGATCTCTTTCCCCCCATTCCCTCTCTTCCTCCTCCCCACGTGCCTTCGTCCCTCCCTCCCTCCTTCCTACCCTTCTTTTCTCTTTTGCAGTCTGCTGTTTTGTCGTGCACAAGCGGTGCCATGAATTCGTCACCTTCTCCTGCCCAGGTGCCGACAAAGGCCCAGCCTCTGATGTAAGTAACGGGCACTGGTCCCCTCTCTCCAGCCACGGTCAGTGCATCCTTTTGGGTAAAGATGGCTGTGCTTAGACCACCCCCCCCAAAATGGGGGGTCTGTTCTTATTCCAAAACATGGGGAATACAGCCTCTGAGACTTTTCATTTTAACAGGAAGGACAAAACAAAACATTTTGGGAGCGGGGTAGGATGGTACGGGAAACCAGCTTCTTCCCCTACCGTGATTTTGCCAAATGTCTTCATCTTTACAGCAGGGGCATGGAGAGTGGTGGTGAGATGCTAAATTGGTCCTGCTGCTCTTACAAGGCAGTTAGGGTGGTACCTTAAGATGCACTTTACAGCTCTTTGTTAGCAAATTCTTGATACCAGGGCCCAAGAATTAGGAGGAAAATGGGTTTATCCTGCTGCCATGTATCCCAAAGCCTGGCTACTATTGGTGGGGCAGGGGATCCTTCTGGGTAAAACAGGCAAATAAGTTTTATTTTAATCAGTATGAACTTACTTTAATATGGATTTGAAAAATGTATCTAGTAGATTTTCTAGTAGGTTTTGAATTTATGGTAGAGAAGGAAAATTTCCTACCCAAGTAAAAGTCAAGTTAAACAAAAGATAAATTGGTTTAAGGAAACTTTTTTTTTTTTTAAGATTTTATTGATTTATTTGACAGAGAGAGAGAGATCACAAATAGAGAGGCCGAGCAGAGAGCCTGATTTGGGACTCGATCCCAGGAGCCTGGGATCATGATCTGAGCCGAAGGCAGAGGCTTTAACCCACTGAACCACCCAGGTGCCCCGGTTTAAGGAAACTCTTAAGTGAATGACCCCATGGGCTCTATAAGGATATGGCAAAAGCCTTGGTTTAAGTTTGTCCAAAGCTTGTGGTACATCGTTGATTACCTCCTCAACAGCCATTCCTAGCCCTTGCTCTCTTTTTTCTGGCAGAGGCTGCCTCTCATGTTAAAAGCTGGAAATGCATGATACTTGCATCCCAGGCTCCCCTGTAGTTAGTGAATGATCATGTAACCCAGTTCTACTCAGGGGGACCTTGGGGGAAGTCTGGGCAGAGCTTTCAAGAAAGACTTCCCTTTCTGATAAGGGCGGACATCCCTTCCTTTTTCCTGTTGGGTAATTTTTTTTTCTCTGTTGGGTATTTTCGTGTGAGGATGCAATGGATGGGGTTGTGGCAGCACTTTTGCGTTAATGAGGGAGATGTACCTGCCTCCTGAGCATGGCAGACTGGAAGAGTTGAAAGAACCCGAGTCATTGATGTCATTGGTGGCTACTGAGCCCACTGTGAGTTCTCTTATACCCAGACGGTATATGTGAGATAAGAAGCTCCTCTTGGTAAAGTCTCATTTTTGGGGGGGTGCTCTTGTTCCCGTTGCTGAAACTGTCCTGGTAGACCTTTCCACCATGCACACTCCTCCCTTGTCTCAGTGATGAGTTGCGTTCAGCAGACTCCATGTGTAGCTGTCACCCCTGGTTCTCTTATTTTGTTCCTGCTTTGGCTCACCTTTCTGGAATTTTCCGCATTGGCATGGTCTTCATTACTGGTCCTGTCCTTACCCACTTAGACATGACAGCGTACAGCTTGCCAGAAGTGAGTGGTGACTGCCTTCTGTCATTGCATTTGTGGACTGTTGTTGGCCTTCTGTAAGTGGTCATCTGCCCTTTTACTGCAAATCAGGGATATAAATGTCATCACAGCAACACGGACACTCTGGAGCTTGGACGACAGTCCCTTTGCTTGGAAACTGGTACTTGGGTTTAAGGATCCCATGGAGCATGAATGATGAAAGCCCTTCCAGACTTGTTTGCAGAGATGAAGATGGGACTGTTCACTGTGTTCTCTGAGACCACGCTTCGTGGCCCTTTTAGTGTAATTCTGTCTCTCATCCCCAGGAAAATAGGCAGAGAGGTTTGGGAGGACAGCCTGGCTCCCTTATAGAGCTCTGAAGGTTCCTGCAGCCCGAGACTTGAGTCTCATACGGCAGCCAAGAGGATGGTGTTTCCTGTATCTGGTCTATGTTCATTGGCTTTTTGTGTTACCTGAGATAGAAACTCCACTCAAACTGGTTTATGTGGAAAGGGAAACTTTTGGTCCTGGAAGCTGAAAAGCTCGAGGGTAGACTGGCTTCAGGCACAGTGAATCGAGATGCTGAACTTACTTCCTCCCTTCCTTGGCTAGGCTTCCTGTCTTGGTTTCAGTTTTAGGAAGTTTTGCTCTGCTTCTAAGGGAGGGTGATGGCTGAGATACCTATGGTCTTCTGTCTCATCCATGACAAGAACTAACATATCATCATACTGCACTTTACCTGGAGCCAGAAGGATGGTTATGCTGATTGGCCAGGTCTGGTCAGGTGCCTACGCCCTGGCGAGGAAACCCCATGTGGCCACCCCATGATTTTAAGAGTCAGGGAGGCGTGGTCCCTCAGAGAATTAGGGAAGCAGAGTGTACTGGCTAAAATCATGGACTGTGGATGGCGCCAGCTTGCCTAGGTTCTGATATGTGTGACCTTGGGCAAAGCAAAGTACTTAACTCTCTGTGCCTGAGATCCCTCTGCTGAAAAATGGATAAAATGATAGTCCCCATCTTCTAACCTTGTTAGGAGTGCCCAGTGTCTCCATATCTATAAAAGTATCTGGTTCATGGCGAGAGCCAAGCATTTGAGGATGATGATGGCAGTGATAATGAAGAACAGGGAATATATGTTGGGCAGGTGGCAAGGACAGATGGCTACCACGTAAGTCTGAAGAGTTAGCAGGCCCTCTGCCTGCCACTTGGCAGGCCTTCCGAGGAGTGCGTAGGCTCCATAAGCGGCAGGAGACCCCTGTCAGTATGAATGGAGCGGCCCCGCCATTCATTGCATCGGGGCTGGGGAGGGAGGGCAGTACTCTCTGCAGCCAGCATGCATAGGATTTGGCAGCCGACTTGGAATGATTCTAACTCTGGACACGGTTCCAAGACGGTCAGCTGGCACCAATGATGATGAATTTGTCCAGACTCCTCAACTGGCTTGACTCAGTTCATTGACCTTTTCCTGTCCATGGCTGGAGATGTGATTAAAGATCTGGCCACACCTGCTCACCAAGCTGGCCAGGCTCTTGCTTGGCTGCCAGTGAGACTCCTGCAGTCATGGAGGGATGCCCTCCTTCTGGGTGACCTTGGAGGAACCGGTGTGCAACGAACTCATGGAGCAGGCAGGCACGGTCTCTATCTATGCAAAGAGAACGTGCTAGGCTCCATCTTCTACCCCTCTGCTATTTGAAGCCCAGCCTGAGCCAGGGAATATTCTGGACATTAGTAGAACTTTGTGTAGTTGGTGTTTTTCTACAGATAGGTCCACATTAGACGTATCAGGCCACCTGAGGAAAGTTCATGAACCAGGCTCTGTCCCAGTGACTTCAGCTACTGACCCAACCAATCCATGCAAATGGGAATAGACAATACATAGAGGCATTGGCCAAATGGAGGACCTTAAGATATGGCAGAGTTCTTGGGTGTTAACTTCTGGTCATCTGCAGTCATGGTCTTGGTCTCCCCTGGCTGGAAACGCTCAATTCTGCTGTCTCTTGGACCTTGTAGAGAGACCAAGTCTCTGGTACCTCCATAGACATGCCATTCTAGTTACCCAGCATTTAGAGTACTACCCACATACACAGCCTCCCAAGAGATCTTCTCAGAAAGCGAAAAGGGGACTTGTGTCTTGGGGCCAGAACTAGAGTGCCTCAAGTGAGGTACTTGCCCTGGGCACAAAATTTAAGGGGTTCTCGGCTGTGTCTGCAAGATGATCTATGATGACCCCACTCACATGGCTGGCAGTGATCAGCTTGTCAGCCTGGGCCTTTGGTTCTCCTCCACATAACCTGTCATCCTCCCCCTGGCTCACTCTGGCTTGTTCACATGGTGGTTTCAGGGCTCCGAGAAGAGCAAGAGAGTGTGATCCAAACATATACTGTGTTTGATAATGTCCCGCTGGACAAAGTAGTCCAATGGCTAAGCTCAGATTCAAGGGGGAAAGAAATAAGACTCTACTCTTCATGGGGTGATGGGGGAAGAGTCTCCGGTCAGTCTCCTGAGATCCTGTTGACCTGAGTGGTAGAACAGAATTCCTGGGGACCATCCCGCTGGACTTATAAAAAACCCACAGATGTCAGTTCGGGGTTTCGGGGAGTCGTAGCCAACCTCGCAGGAGGACACATCTCATTTTTCCCCTGCCCCATGTTCCTATATGACTTCGCCATCTCCAGCTACAAATGGGAAGCTAGGCAATTTCTTGATCATGTCCAAAGACATTGGTGGTTGGGACTGTGGGACCTATAGTCAGACATAGGTGAAGTCAGGTCCTGACTCTGGAAGTTACTCATTAGGGGGACCTCAGGTGGATCATTTTCCTTCTCTGTGTCTCAGTTTCCTTCTCTGTAAACTAGGATATTAGTACCAGCCACATAGGTTTGTTGTAATATTTTTTTTTAAACATCCTTAAAATGAAAAGAGTTAACAACAAACACAACAGCATCACAGCAAGCAGATTAAAAAGACATTGTGCGAAAGTGTTTAGCCCAGGGCCCGCCACATAGGAAGCCCTTGGTATGAGTAGCTGAGGGCCTTTCGATTACTCTCTCTATCCCCGAATCTTGAATGTGCTGATAATTGTCTACAGTCCTCTGCCCGGAGCATGCCCTCCTGAGGTAATTGCTGTCTCCATTTCCGTGACTTGACACACAACCTCCAAGTCTGAGAGAAGAGCCTGGACTTTGGAGCCAGAAAACCTTGGTGTCAAATTCCATTGCTCTCATTTACTTACTCCTCCATGGATCTGGGTAAAATAATTCAAGTTCTGTGATCCTTAGTTCATCTCTTTAAAACGGGGGAAATAATACCTAAATTATAGTTCTTCTTTTTTTTTTTTTCTTTCTTCAGTGTATATTCAATGAGAGACTGCTTGAGTCACATCCAGAATAGTGTCTGGGACCCAAAAAAAAGGCACTCAGCAAA